AGGGCGGGTGGATCACCTGAGGTCAGGAGTTTGAGACCAGCCTGACCAACTTGGTAAAACCGAATCTCTGCTAAAAATACAAACAAATTAGGCCGGGTGTGGTAGGTCACACCTGCAATCTCAGCACTTTGGGAGGCGGAGGTGGGCGGATTACAAGGTCAGATCAAGAACATCCTGGCTAACTCAGTGAAACCATGTATCTACTAAAAATACAAAAAATTAGGTGGGTGTGGTGGCACACCCCTATAGTCCCAGCTACTCAGGAGGCTGAGACAGGAGAATCGCATGAACCCAGGAGGCAGAGGTTACAGTAAACCGAGATCACAGTGCCACTGCACTCAAGCCTGGGTAACAGAGCGAGACTCCATCTAAAAAAAAAAAAAAAATTTTGCTGAGCATGCTGACATGCACCTGCAATCCCCACTGCTTGGGAGGCTGAGGTTGCATTGCTTGAACCTGGGAGGCAGAGGTTGCAGTGAGCTGAGATCGCGTCACTGCACTCCAGCCTAGGTAACAGAAAAAAAAAAAAAAAAAAAAAAAAAGGCTTTCCTTACTTAGGCAAATTCTTAAACTTGATTAGCTTTAGTTCCTCATTCTTTTTTGAGACAGGGTCTCGCTCTGTTGCCCAGGCTGGGGTGCAGTGGTGCCGTCATAGCTCATGACTAGAACTCCTGGGTTCAAGTATCTCCTGCCTCAGCTTCCCCAATAGCTTGAACTATAGGCACCCGACACCATGCATGGGCTAATTTTTTATTTTTATTTTTTGTAGAGAGAGGGTCTAACTGTGTCCAAGACCAGCCTTGAACTCCTGGACTCAATTGATCCTCCTGCCTTGGTCTTCCAAAGTGCTGATAGTACAGACAAGTGCCACTACACCTAACCTAGTTTCCTCATTCTTAAAATGGGAATAACAGATTCTAAGAGTTGCCTGCGGTAAATGAGTTTATGCATGTACTTATCATGTGGGCATTCAAATGTCAGCTCTCTGATGCACTAGCTGTGCAATCTTGTGTAAGTGTTCTACTTTTCAGGGCCCATTTTCCTCTTTTGCGAAATGTGACCAAGGGAGAAAAGACATTGCAGTGTTTGCATTTCAGTCTAAGGTAATACTGTCTACTTGGGCTTGCAGTCCAGCCGCCACTTACCAAATCTGTGTCCTTGGGCCATACTCAAATCTCTCTGTGCCTCAGCTTTTTCCTTGTGCAGGGAGCCTATCAATGACATCTAAGAGTATTTATCCAGTCAGGAATTGCTTGCCATGGGCTAAGCTACTGGTTTCCTTGAAAATGCAACCCTACAGCTTAATGTCACCTGCTGTTAAGATTTTCCAACACTTGCTTACCATATAGCTTTCTTGTGGTGAAACTCAAAAGTTATGGCCAAGTGCAGTGGCTCACCCTTGTAATCTTAACACTTTGGGAGGCCAAGGCGGGTGGATCACGAGGTCAGGAGTTCAAGAACAGCCTGGCCAAGATGATGAAACCCCGTCTCTACTAAAAATACAAAAATTAGCTGGGCTTGATGGGTGGCACCTGTAATCCCAGCTACTCAGGAGGTGGAGGCAGAGAATTGCTTGAACCTGGGAGGCAGAAGTTGCAGTGAGCCAAGATCATGCCACTACACTCCAGCCTGGGCAATAGAGACTCTGTCTCAAAAAAAAAAAAAAAAGTTATTTTCACTTACCCAAAAGCAAACCTCAGTGTGTACATTTGGAATGGCTTGAATTGTGTGAGGAACACACAGATTCCTGCCTTGTTTGGAGAGCACTTCTGGCAGGTACCCACTAAGGAGTTGCTGATGGACAAGGTATTCCCTTTTTTTCCTCCTGGTAGGGAAATGTGAAAGTCACATCTGGCTCTCTTGACATCTGGGAATTGAATGGGGAAGATATTCTCCCTCTTGATAGAAATATTTGTTCCTATTCAAAATCTAGAAAGAATATTTGTCATGAATGTGACAGTAAGTTGTAAAAAGACTTCGAGGGCTCTTGCAAAGAAAATCTCATGTCATCATGTCTTTTGTTTTTTGAGGCAGGGTCTTGCTCTTCTGCCCAGGCTGGAGAGCAGTGCTTTGATCATGTCATTGAAGACTCAATCTCCCCAGCTCTAGCCATTCTCTTGCCTCAGCCTAAGTAGGTGGGGCTATAGGTATGCACCTACCATGCCTGGCTATTTTTAAATTTTTTTACTTTTTGTAGCCATGGGGTCTCACTAAGTTGCTCAGGCTGGTCTTGAACTCCTGGGCTCAAGCAATCCTCTGGCCTTGGCTTCCCAAAGCTCTGGGATTACAGGTGCGAGCCACTGTGTCTGGCCTTGTGCCATCATTTCTGATCTCTTGTAATGGTTACCATGCTGCCAATACCAGAATTATAATTTTCGACAACGACCAGAGCTTAGGATATAAATTCTCGTCATTATCTTTTGGGAGTTTTTATCTTCTGACCTTGTTACAAAACGAAATACACAACTCCTTGCTCAATCTTTGAAAATTAAAACTCTCCCAACTTGATGTCTTTGTCATTTGGTAACTGGTAATCTTGCAGCGTCAGATCACACTGTCCCACAGTAATCTATAGAATGTAAGTTCGAATAATCAAGTTGTTGCAAGCAGTTAATTTAGCTACAGTCTGGATGCCCTACCTTATTTATTGGCACAACTTTGACAAGCCCCAAACAAGATTTTTGTGATTTTTCTTATTCCACCCAACTTCATCTTGCAGACTTAACGTCCTACATATTTCTGAATTCGTCTCTTCTCCATCCTTATGACCACTGCCCTCATGTATCATTTCTTTTCTGTTTCAGGGGTCTGTTAAGTGCCTCTTGGTCTTAACCTTCTCAGATCCGTCCTAAAATAGAAAATGATTGCTTCCTGGCGTAGAACCCTTCAATTGCTCCTAATTTGAACTTCTGACGTCATGGTCCCATCCTCTCCAAAGTCACTCCAAGTAGTCATACTAAACTTGGGGTTCCTTAAACTAGAAATTATATTCATGTCTTAGCCCTCTGTTGTTCATACGTCTGAAATCCCTTTCTACACATTGTAGCCTTGATAACCCAAACTTCCCTAACATTTCCCCCACGCACAGGCAATTTGATCTTCCGCCTATCCCTGCCGTAAATCATGTCATTATTTGCTTACATCTGTTTCCTCTAAAAGAGGCTGAAGCCTTTGACGGCAAAGCTGTGGCTCATTCCTTTTTTTAAATCACCATCACTTACTAGTGCTTGCTGAATAAACAGATGTAAGTTGTTAACTTACCGATGCACTAGCCCAAACATGTTTAGATTGTTACCTCACAGGTATCTATATCCATCTATACATCTATATAAAAGCTTTTGGCCAAGCGCGGTGGCTCACGCCTGTAATCCCAGCACTTTGGGAGGCCGGAGGGGGGGCTGGGGGGGGTGGATCACCTGAGGTCAGGAGTTCGAGATCGGCCTGGCCAACATGGGGAAACCCTGTCTCTACTAAAAATATAAAAATTAGCTGGGCGTGGTGGCGCGTGCCTGTGATTCTAGCTACTCCGGGCGCTGAGGCACGAGAATCCTGAACCCAGGAGGCGGAGGTTGCAGTAAGCCGAGATGGCGCCATTGCATTCCAGCCTGAACGACAGAGCTGTCTCAAAAAATAAATAAATGAATAAATTAAAAAATAGAAAGCTTTTGCTATGTGGTGTAAATAAGAGCCAACTTGTATACGGTGCTTCCTATATGCCAGGAACACATTAATTCATTAAATCCTCACAACTTTATGAGGCAGGCCCAAATATTACCTGCAGTTTACTAGTGAGGAGTTATCTACGGTTTACTGGTAAGGGAAACTGAGACCCACAGGTTGTGACTTGCTCAAGGTCAAGCTGGTGGAGCCAGGACAAGGTGCAGGCAGATTCCTGCCTGGAGTCTGATCTGAACCTCTCTGGGCTGTGCAGGTCATTGCTGTGCGTAGGAATCAATGTGAATGTGCATTCCAGGAAGGCAGAGACACCATTTAGGGGTCAGAGCAGGGCAGGCTGGATGTGCTCAGGAAACTCATCCGGTTAGGTCAGAAGTCTGGCATGACAAGGGAATTTTCCGGTCCTCGTCCACCACTCCAACCTCTCATCCGACTAGTCTTCCAAGGATTCTAACTGCACATGGCTCCCGAGTTTCCGGCTTCTCTTCCTAGGGAGGGTCTGCGGCCCGTCCGCGCCGCCCTCTCCCCGCAATGCCGTTTTCCAGTCCGTGCTCGGACGTGTCCGGCCCAGCCGCCAGCCGCAGCTGCGCGCTGCTCCCCCGACTCGCACACCCTCCGCACGGCGCAGCATTTTATTTAACTATTTCTGCGAGGCTGCGGCTGGGTCTCGGCCGCCTTCAGCGCCGCGGACGCGCCGGCAATGCCGGCATCCGCCCAGGAGCGCGGGTCCGGGCGGACTCCCTTCTGAGGAAGGCGCGGCGGGCCGATCCTCACTTGGAAGGCTTTCGCGTCCTCGAAGCGAGCGGTGTTTCGTGGAAGGCAAAACACGCTGGGTCCCGATAACCGGTCCATGAAACGTCCGTTCTGAGCAGCTTGGAGCGTGCGACCCTGCCGAACCCGCCGCCCCTGCGGCACCGTGTTGAGGACCCAGGACCCACGGTGGGAGGCGGTGACTGGCCGCCTCCCACGGCCGCGCTCCCGACCCGCGGCGAGCCAGACCTCCGCCCCCGGCACCCGCCCGCAACTGGGCAGCCCGACAACGCGCCGCCGCCTCACAAAGCCCAGGAGGCCGCCTCATCGCGCGCAGGGATCTGGGCCACGCGCGCTCCCCTCCCCCGCTCGTCTCCGCTGTCCCGGGTCCAGGTCTTTGCCTCCGCGTCACATTCTCCTCCTCGAGTCTCCGGAGACAGGGAGCCGGGTGAGGCTCGCTTTCCCGGGCGGAGCGCGAGCTCGGGTCCTCCCTGGGCGCTGAGGCCCCCGCCCCCCGCGGAGGGACTACTTGCCGTCACCCGCGGCGGGACTACTTCCTCCCCCGCGGAGGCGTCGGCCCTGGCGGCGCGCACGGCATGGCGGCGGCGGCGGCGGCGGCGGCGGCGCGCGCCTGAGGAGAGGGGACGCCGGCCCGGTCAGGCCTCGGCGCGGCCTACACGCTTCGCTCGCTCGCTCGCTCCCGCCTCCCGCCCCGCGCCCGGCCATGGCGGAGCCTTCGTCCGCCCGACGCCCGGTGCCTCTCATCGAGTCGGGTAAGACGCAGGGCCTTGCCACCCCCTCCCCGGCGCCCCTGGCTGCTTCGGCTCCCCCGGCCGCTTCCCGTCCCCTCCCCGCCCGGGCTTGACCCAACTCCCCGTCTTCCCGCAGAGCTGTACTTCCTCATCGCCCGGTACCTATCGGCGGGCCCGTGTCGGAGAGCGGCCCAGGTGAGTGCGGGCCCGCGGGCGGCGGCGGCGGCGGCCTTGGCGTCCTTGGCGTCCCCGCCGCCGGGGGTCGCGGGTGGAGGGCGGGGGTGAAGCGGGCGCGCCCCGCGTCCGGGCCCGACCCCACCCCTGACCGCACGTCTCTCGGCCGCAGGTGCTGGTGCAGGAGCTGGAGCAGTACCAGGTCTGTGCCCGCCGTCCCCGCGCCCAGCCCCGCGCTCCCTCGCGTCCCTCCTCCCGACCTTGCCCTGAGGGATGCTCGCCCGCGCCCCCCGCCCGCCCGCCCCCCGCCCGCCCCGCGCCCGCGCCCGCGCCGGAGCGGTGGTCACTCGTGGACGTTTCGTGTCTTTCCAGTTGTTGCCGAAGAGGTTGGACTGGGAGGGCAACGAGCACAACAGGAGCTACGAGGAATTGGTGAGCATTGGGCACGTTTGCTCCCTGGGTTCTCCGTGCACCGCCCCCCGCCCCTACCCCTTTCCCTCGCGGGGACCCCGGCCCGCGGGGTGCAAAGTGTGAGCCGCACTGGGGGTGGCCCCAGGAGAGCTGCGTTCCCTGCTGAAGATTTTGTTTTGTTTTTGAGGCAGCCAGGTTTGTCTTGGCAGGAAACAGTCTTGGGGGGCGGTGCGGGGCGGAGGGGTGGGGGGTGACTCGCGGAGGTCCGCCGGCAGGGGTGGGGGTCCAGGTGCGGCCGCCTCTGTGGGGTGTGGCGTACTCAGCCAGCCAGTCAACGGGGCGGTTTCATCCGCTCTCCCCGCCTCCGCAGTTGTAACTCGCGCTCTGATTGGCGTCCCCGCTCTTGGCCCGCCCAGGTCTGTCCGCCACTTGTTCCCTAGGAATAGAATCATTGGTCTCTGAAGGTGGAGAAATATTCTTGCGTTGAGCTTTTTATTTTTTGTTTTTGTCCGCAGCAGCGTCATAAAAATCTTGCTGCTGTGTGAATATGCCACTAGCTTGTGCTCCTCTGTACTGTACAATATTTGTTGAACGCCGTAAAAAGTTGATTTACTTTGATGAGTTGCACACTGATGTTGCTGTGATAAGTAGATAATAACATAATTTAAAGCGCTTCAAATAGGTACTTTTTTCTTTTCAGCTCTGTTAATCGTGCATTACAGTCTCATTTATACTTTGCGAACCTGGTTAGTTGCTCTCACTATTTATATAACTTGGTTTTATCTATAGTTGGAGCGGTTGCAGGGATTCATTTGATTTTACTGGAATAAGACATTTTTCATGAGTATATTTTTACCATTTCGTTATTGGAATTTAGTTGTCAGGCCATATTCCGCATCTTGTGTAAGGAAAACAATTGAAAGGGAAAAGAGCTTCTGAGTGAACTTTACCACAGCCCGAAGACCTGTAGCTATTAAGTGGTAGAGTATGGTGGCAAGTGAGAAAAAGAAAAAAAAAGTGGTAATTTTGAATTAGACAACAAAGGAAACCAGAGGATGTGTTATTTCTATGAACAATTAACATGGGAAAACCCTCTTTCTACTGAAGAGTATTTTTCGTTAAGTATTAACACTTGAAACCTGGTGCAAGTAAGAGAATCTTAATATTTGCCGTCTTAGATTTTGAAGTAAACACTTAAAAGTGGATGCTTTCAAGAGAATGAGTTCTAAAAATTCTGATAATGACAATTTGTTTTCTTGAATTTGACATTTTGAGACTTTTTTTTTTTTTTTTGCCTTCTCTTAGTTTTCTCCGTGGATAATATAGCTTTGATAATATAGCCTTATTAGTGAAGCAGAAAAGCATTATTGGTTATGATACTGTAGTCATGCGGCCTGAGAGAAAATAACTTGAAACAAGTGTAGTGCTGTAACTACTGGAAAAATTACTTTTAAAATATATTTATAGGGGCTGGGTGCAGTGGCTCACAGCTGTAATCCCAGCATGTTAGGAAGCCTAGGTAGGAGGATGGCTTGAAGCCAGGAGTTCCAGACCAGCCTGGGCATAAAGCAAGACCCTGTCTCCACAATAAATAACAGAGAATTAGGCAGATGTGGTGGTGTGTGCCTGTAGTCCCAGCTACTTGGGAGGTTGAGCAGAAGGATCACTTGACCTTGGGAGTTTGAGGCTGCATTGAACTGTCCTCCTGCCACTGTACTCCAGCCTGGGAGATGGAGCAAGGCCTAGTTTCTTTAAAAAATAAAAATAAAAAAAGTTTATATAATTTTTTTGGCTATTATTGCTAGAATTGCTCAAAATTCTACTTACTGTTGTTTAAAATCATTTATTTATTTATTTATTTATTTATTTATTTTTTTATTTTATTTTTTCTTTTTTGAGACAGAGTTTCGCTCTTGTTACCCAGGCTGGAGTGCAATGGCGCGATCTCGGCTCACCGCAACCTCCGCCTCCTGGGTT